AGAGGGAGCAGGGTTGCTATAGAGACAGAGAGGGCGGGGCCAGCAGGGGTTGGAGCAGAAGGGACCAGACCACCGGCGAGCCTTGTGGCCACGTTCTGGGGCCCACTGAAGGGCTCTGGATCTGAGAGCGGCCGGGGGATCCTAGGAGACCCCGAGGAGCCCCATCCCTGGTGGCGGCGGGCAAACAAGCCGGAAGAGAGATCCTCATGCAGTCACAAGGAAATCACCCGGTGATGCACAGACTACTTTTAAGTGACTTCATCTTTGACCCCCTGCCGGGAAGTCTCCGATCTTAAGGTTCAAAAGCTCGAACAAAGGAAAGACCAGCTTTTTGAGCGTGAAGTGACAACACAGGGCTGTGGCTTCCTAACACAATTAAATTCTAGGTGAGCAGAGGCCACAACCGTGGAAAGCATGGTTTTGCCTGGAAAGTACAAAGTGCCTTTTCCCCGCTTTATTCATCAATAACCCTACAATCGGAGCTGACACATCCAGGCTTCAAAGCGAAAGCAAAGAGCTCAGTTTGTGAATATTAAGCGGCTTGTCGAGAGATGGTCTGACCCTTATGTTTCAGCGGCGTCCAGTGGTGACAGAAAAAGGGCCTAACGTTCATTAGACCCCTTCAGGGCTGGCGGCTCACTGGCCACCTTCTGCGGGCTCTCTCTTCTTAACTTTCAAGGGCCTGTTTTCCATGCAGACCTCACATTTCTAGTGGGGAAGAGATTTCTTCTAATGAGAAGGCATTTATGTCCATCCATTTAGTCACCTGCCATGGGATGCAGGGCCTGGCTTTGGCTGAAAAGAAGTGTCTGCAAACTAGATTACTGAGAAACTTTTGAGCCTAGCACATAGCATTTCTCCCCGTGTCTGCTTTCCTCTAAAAATGTAAGTATTAATTTTTTTTAAAAGGTGGGGTCTCACACTTCCCTAGGGGTGACCCTCCCAGAGGCCTGAGAGACTGTGGGAAGACGCTACTGAAGACCGTCGCTGGCTGGCACCAACCCTACGAGATGCACATGTTGCCCACACGACAAACAGTAGAAGTGAAAAGAGTTAAAGAGCAAAACCTCACGGCTCAGCCCTGGAGTGGCGGGAGTGGGGGGGGCACTAAACGGTGTTACACCGGAAGTAGCAGGGCTTCCTGCCGTCTGCACAGGAGAGGAGCTGCTGTTTCGGCTGCGCTCAAGCTGGAAGCCAGACTGAGAAGAGACCACGCCTGTCCCCTCCCGCCGCAGGATGGCAGAGACCGGGGTCAGCCCACAGCGGGAAGGAGCAAAGTGGGAAGTATCGCCCAGTCTCACGAATACCGGAGAGCAGCCTCCGTCGAATGCAGTGGACCGTGGACACACTGGCCTGGGAGACACAGTCCTGTGTCGTCAGAGCTGCTGGCCCGCTGTCCGCACGTGAAGTACAGTAACGGCTTAAGTCGGCCGGAAGCCCCATCCGTGCACCGCAGGAGGGCAGCGTGCGCCCCGAGGCTGATCCGCTGTACTCCTTTGGGGACCATAAGCCGAGGCCAGCGTGAAACCCTGTCCTGTTCTCACTGCGCGCGTGCACACACGCGCACACACATGCATTCCTGGGGTGTTTAAGTCTCTAGGGAACCCGTGAGGGTCACGGGGTGGCGAGGAAGCACCTTGGAATCCAGTCCCCGCAGCAAGAACTCCAGCATCCAGTCCGTCCTGAGACGGCCCTGGGCTCGCCCCGCCGGCCGCCCGGGGCTCGCTCCCCCGCAGCGGCGGCCTGTCGGCGGCTCCCGCCTCGCTGCTTCCCCCCACTCCTTCCCCTCACGCTCTGCAGCAGAGCCGGCTCCCCTGCTGTCACCCTACCTTCTCCTGTGGGGCGTCGCCCTCATTCCACTTCCGTCGTTGGACTCCTGCCCTCCGTCTCCCTCTCATCCTTCAAGTCTCTCCTGAAACATCAGAGTTTTCTTAAGAGCGCGGGCACTGACAGCCACCCTGATGAGAACATTCTTCCCTGGCAAGAAAAGAAACCCACCATCGCCAAGCGAGCCTCTGTGGAAAGAAAGCAGCTGGCGACAGGGAGGAAGAGGGTTATTTAAAAGAGTAGAAGGGAAATCTGAACGAGACAGAACAGTGCGGGGTCTTCAGCAGGGCGTGGTCCAGGGCCTGGAAGTCAACCCCAGAGCTTGGTGGTATAGTCGGTCACTATTTACATACACATACTATTAAATGCAGGTAACTACTTACATGCAGATAACAACACATACATGTAACATAGTTACATACACGTAAGGACAGAGGATGAGATGCTTGAATGGCATCACCAACTGGAGTGGGTTGCCATTTCCTTCTCCAGAGGATCTTCTCAACCCAGGGACTGAACCTGCGTTTCCCGCGTTGGCAGGCCAATTCTCTACCACTGCGCCACCTGGAAAGCCCCTAGATGCCAAAACAGCCTCTGAATGATGATTCTTTTCATGGCAAGGTCCTTTGACTTACACAAGTCTGCAGCCCAGTCCTCAGATGAGCTGGCCTCCCTCTTGGGGCTGCTCATGGGGCATCTCTCCTGCCGGGCTCCCCTGGTCCTTCACCTGGTGGGTGGGGCTGCTCCCAGGGGTGGAGGGGCGTGGCCTCAGCTGCTCTTTACCCTGACTGTTCAGAGCCCTCTCAACGAGGAGCCCTCAGAGATCCCTGGAGAAAGGCTCCACGTCCCTGTCCTGGAGTCACTGCTGGTCGCAGCCTCCCAGGGCCCCCAGCTCTCACCTCCTCAACTCTTTTCACAGCATGCCACCCTTCTGTCCACTCGGACCCTGCAGAGCGACCTCATCTCTTCTCGCAGAAGTTTACCCACCTCTCCTCTCCTCTATGGTTTTTCCAGTGGTCATGTATGGATGTGCGAGTTGGACCATAAAGAAAGCTGAGCACTGAAGAATTGATGGTTTTCAACTGTGGTGTTGGAGAAGACTCTTGAGAGTCCCTTGGACTGCAAGGAGATCCATCCAGTCCATCCTGAAGGAAATCAGTTTTGAATATTCATTGGAAGGACTGATGTTGAAGCTGAATCTCCAATACTTCGGCCACCTGATGCAAAGAACTGACGCATTGGAAAAGACCCTGATGCTGGGAAAGATTGAAGGCAGGAGGAAAAGGGGATGACAGAGCACGAGATGGTTGGATGGCATCAATGAATCAATGGAGATGTGTTTGAGTAAGCTCCGGGAGTTGGTGATGGAAAGGGAGGCCTGGCGTGCTACAATCCATGGGGTCACAGAGTTGGACATGACTGAGCAACTGGACTGACTAACCTCTCCTCTGGGGCTCAGATTTCCCCTTGGGTTTCACAAAAAGCCAGTGGTTCTTCAATTTGAACGGGTGTCAGACCTGCCTGATGGGCTTATTAAGACACAGTGCCAGCCCCGCCCAGGAGTTTCTGATTCAGCGGGTCTCAGCTCTGCCTGCGGCTGAGGAATTTGCATTTCTAACAAGCTCTGGTGCAAGTTGTTGCTGTGGTCCAAGAATCCTACTTTGAGCAACTCTGTTGAAAAGCAACATCATTGAACAAAACAAAAAAACCAGTCCCCAAATGATCACACCCTTTCCTCTCCCAAGAAATCCAAAGTATCCATCAATGAAGTCAACTTATTTTACTGGTAGTTAAGTTCCACTTACTGCGAAAAATAAAGTTTTGAAGTTACTTTAATTCTTATTTAAGCCATCAGCAGAAACAGTCAATTTACCCAGTGCGCTCAGAGAAATGCTTTTCCTCCCAGGGGAAATCGCGTTCTCTGCAGCCTCTAAAATCTGCTGGCCCCAAAACAGCCCTGACTCTGGTTTTCTTAAGCTAAGGAGGAGATGGGGTTGGGCTGGGGACCAGGGGAGAGCAGCTTCGCTGTCACAATGCAGGACGCCGGAGGACGGGGGCAGGGAGAGAGACTCTTGGCTTTGAATAGGAAGCAGGCCGTGACATCAGAGTAATCCTGCTGCTGACCCCAACCATCAGGCTCCAGGCTTCCTAGGGAAGCCCTGACTTCTCCACCCCTCCCCACCCTTCCCACTAAGCTGAGCCCAGAAACAGAACCCAACTCCCGTCTCAGGGCTCTTGCCTGCATCTCCTCTCCAGAGGCCACAGCAGCTGCCCCTCAGGGCACAACCCTGCTCCCCCAGCTGAAGTCTGAATCCCGGAGCGGAAGCCAACAGGGCAAGAGCCTCATTGCAGACCTCAGAGGTCCTTCTGCAGCCCCCAAAGACCAGACGCCACGGGCCGGCCCCAGCCAGACCCCCGGTCCATAACCCCGCATCAGAGCCCCGTTGGGACAGTATGCCGCTGATGGAAAACACTTAGAGGCCTGTGGTTCCGCTTTTCTGAGTTCACTGCCCTACTTGGGGGCGGGATTCTAGGGAGGGTGGGTCTGTGCTGGGGGCAAGGCTGCAAAGAGGGGCCGCTTATAAAGAAGGGCGGGCTGTGGGGAGGGCGGGGCTACAAGAAGGCTGTTTGGGGGCCCAGCCAAATGGTCATGCGCTACTTGCTGCCCCCGCTCTTTGAGGACAGAAAGTCAAACATCCACCCACCCCAGACCCAGACTAGCCTCTCCTATTGATTCAGGCTCCAAAGTTTCAGGGAACCGCATTCAAAGGCCACTGCTAGCTGCATTTCGGCTTCCCCGGTGGCTCGGTAAAGAATCTGGACACTGCCTGCAATGCAGGAGACCAAGGTTCAATCCCTGGGGGGGTGGGGGTGGGGGGCGGAGATCCCCTGGAGAAGGAAATGGCAACCCACTCCAGGATTCTTGCCTGGAGAATCCCACGGACAGAGGAGCTTGATGGGCTACAGTCCACGGGGTCGCAATGAGCTGGACACAACTTAGAGACTGAATCACCACCAACGGTCTTTTGCTTCTCACAGTGGTTCCCCAGGAGCATAAAATAGGAGAAGCGAAACTGATCATGTCACCCCTTGATGAGCGGGGAGGAAGCAGATGGATAGCGCTGTTTATTGGGCCCCGTTATCGTACTGGTCACACACACGGTCTCTGCGCCATGAAAGGGTTCGCAGCCGCCCTCCTCATCTGGACTCTGCTGTCCCCCCAGAGAGCGGGCGGGGAGGCCTGGCCCACGCACACAGCCTGCAGGAACGGGAATCTGCAAGTGCTCTACCAGAGCTGCGGTAAGTGCTTTCTGAACCTCGGTTTCTGTTTACAAGAAAGGCAAGGCCCACATGTGTAAGATGCTTGAGCGCTTTATGGGGTGGGGGGAGGGCAGGGACACAGCGGCTGAATGGGTAGGTGCAGAGCGGGGAGCCCCGGGCAGGAGACGCGGTCTGGGCAGGAGAGAGCTGAAGAGCATGGCCAGAGGACCGGAAAAGCGCAGCAATTCTCTAGATCAGAAGGGAAAGAAAGACCTGCCTGCAATGCGGAAGACCTGGGTTCGATCCCTGGGTCAGAGAAGAGAGATGGCTACCCACTCCAGTATTCTTGCCTGGAGAATTCCATGGACAGAGGGTCCTAGGGGGCTACCATGCATAACCTCACTAACCTCAGAGCCCGAAAAAGAGCAACCCGGCCTGTGAGTCTACCACGTCGTGAAACCTCGCCAGTTCAGGATCAGGAAGAGAAGGTGCCATCAGCTCAGTTCAGTCGCTCAGTCGTGTCCAACTCTGCGGCCCCATGGACTGCAGCACGCCAGGTTTCCCTGTCCACCACCAACTCCCAGAACTTGCTCAAACTCACGTCCATCAAGTCGGTGATGCCATCATGGTGAAGCTTCCATGACCTTCCCCGATTGCTCACCTGGGGCACCGCTCCAGGTTATGTCGTTTGCAAGTTGAGTGAAAAGATCATTTACGACAAAGGAGAAGATTCTTGTCCTTCTGATGACACTGCCAGCGTGCCTCTCACAGCAGCAGCATCATTTATTCATTCAACAAACACTTACCGGCAGCTGCTGATGCCACGGTTCTCTCTAGCTCTGGACATGATAAGAGGGAATGAGCCATGGCTATTACCCCACCAGGCAAGCGTAGACACCAACCAACACTGCAACCTAGTGAACAGAGTGCGGGGAGCCGCCGTGGTCAGGGTCTGAACCGAGTCTTTGGAGGGTATGGTTGCTCGCAGGGGCCATCAAAACACCGCGGACCCCGCGGACTGAGGGGCTTCCACAGCAGAGGCTGCAAGTCTTGCAAGACCAAGGTGCCAGCAGGCCCCATTTCTCCCGGGCTTGCCGGTGGCCTCCTCCTCCTGTCTTCACCTGCTCTTTGTTCTGTGCCCGCATGTTCCTCGTGTGTCTGTGTGCCTTCTCATGAGGACATCAGTCGTATCGCATCAGGGCCCACCCATTCAGGAAGATCCCCTGGAGGAGGAAGTGGTAACCCACTCCAGGAGTCTTGCCTGGGAAATCCCATGGACAGAGGAGCCTGGCAGGCTACAGTACATAGGGTCGCAAGGAACCAGATAGGACTGAGCGTCTGGGCACATATACACACATTCAGCTCATAAAGGGGGCCTGAGTGGGGAGAAATGAGCCCAGTCTCAGGGTTGCGTGTTGAATGAAGATGAGAGGGACTGGCTCACGAAGCCATGACCTTGTGAAACATGACATCTTGGCAGTAGATAGGGGGAAAATGCTACTCAGGCTGTAGGCAGTGGAGAGCAGATGCCCTTTCAGTATCCAGGTCAGCCCCACAATAAGCTGAGGGGGGCGTCAGTGTTACATCAAGCAGAAGCTGGGCCCTCCGACTGCCGCCCACGGAGCTGCCTCACAGGTGTGCAGACTTGACTCTTTTGAAAAGAGGGAACGTTGAAGATTGAAATACACACACGCCAATTTTGTTTAATGGAGACGAGAAGGAAAGGCTGGGTGCTGGATGTGTTCATCGCCTTCCTCTTGCTCTTCCCTTGGGGATGGGATGCATTCTGCTGGCCTCTTCATTTTCAGGGCAGGATGAGAAGCAAAACTTGAGATGAATGCCCTGCTCAGGATTTGTTCTTCCAGTTCACCCTCCCATAAACGGTTGCCATGGCTGGTCCACCCCTCAGACCAGCCTGCAGTCTGCGTCCAAGCCTGGCAACCACCTCCCCCGCTGCTGCCAGGAGCAGACGCTCCAGGGAAACGGATCGTGTCACTGCCGCCCGGGGAGAACTCCTCCCTCTGAAGGGGCGGCTGCTCCGTGGAGGCAGTGAGTGATGGCCACAGCCTCGCGCTAAGCACACAGTGGAAGGAACGGAGAAGCCGAAGCTCTGGTCCAAGAGCAGCGGGAGGAGGAGCCAGGCTTCAGGGTAAACGCCCCGTGGGAAGGGCTGGACTGGAGACAGTGTCCTGCACCAGGGATGTGGTGATGGCTGCAGAAGAGGCTGAGTCTAAGCCACCAGGGAACCTGGCCTCAAGCTTGAGTCCAACCATGTAGGATGATGAGAATAGTGATTACAGCACCTCATGTTCACGAGGGGTATATGTGGCAGGCATCATGCTGAGTACTTTCTAAGCATTATTTTTACTTACAGATGTGTAAACTGAGGGTGTGTGCTAAGTCACTTCAGTTGTGTCCGATTCTTTGCCACCCCATGGACTGTAGCCCGCCAGGCTCCTCTGTCCATGGGATTCTCCAGGCAAGAAGACTGGAGTGGGTTGCCATGCCCTCCTCCGGGGGATCTTCCAACCCAGGGATCGAACCCAGGTCTCCCGCATTGCAGGCAGATTCTTTACCATCTGAGCCCCCAGGGGAGCCTAGAATACTGGAGTGGGGTGCCACGCCCTTGCGTGAGACATGATGAGCAGTGAAACAACAAACTGAGGGTGAATGATGTCAGGCAACTTTTCTGAGGCCACCAGGCAGCAGAGTGACACCTCCAGTGGCACAGAACGGGCAGTAAGTAAATATTTGCGGAGTTAAAATGCATTCATCCCAGGCCCACTCTGAATCACCTGGCATCTAGAATGTTGTCAGAAGGCAAATGGCGCAGGGGTGGGAGCGGGAAGGAGCGTTTAGGCGAGGACCGTGTGAGCGAAGGCTGGGGAGGAGGCATAGACTCGGGGGCTGGGGAAGGGCTGGGACGAGGGGAGGGTGAGCGATACAGTGGGAAGGGTGGGCAGAGCCCAGGGGTGATGGGTGACTCTATGTGTCAGTGTGGCCAGGGCACGGGATGCCCAGATGTCTGGGTAAACTTCGTGTCCTGGGTGTCTCTGAGATGTTTCCAGAGGAGATGAGCGCTGGACCAGTGGGCTGAGTAAAGCAGATGGTCCTCCCGTTGCGGGCGGGCAGCTCCCCAGCGGTGAGGCCTGACGCCCGCACAAAGGCGGGGGCAGGGAGTACTCACTCTCTGCCGGACTGTGAGGCTGGGGTGCCTGTCTCCCACCTGCCGTCCCCCCCCACCCTGGGTCTCAGGCCTTCAGGCCACACCACCGGCCTTCCTGGGGCTCCGGCTCGCAGACGGCAGAAGTTGAACGTCTCAGGTTCCGTTGTCACATGAACCTACACCATGTAACAAGCCTCTTTCTAGGACAGATACGGACATGTGGCATGATCACCAACATGCCATGGCCTGTGCGGGGGTTGGCAAAGAATCTCCAGGCTGGGTGAAAGGAGAATAAAATTTATTAGAGTGGGAGATGCTGTTAGAACAGCGGGCTGGCTCCAGGGAGAGCCAACCCTTTCAAGGGCTAGTATCCAATGTTTATAGCCTCGAGACAGAAAAAATTCCTACTGGAAGGGTGCATTAGGTGATGGGTTAGGATGCTGTAGGGTGGATGCTAACAGGGTAGAAATGTTATCTAATATGGAGTCTGGGAACTGGCCAGTGGCTGGAGGCTCGTGGCAGCAGCTGCTATGGGTTCGGTCAGTTCCAGAGATGTTGGTACAGGACTCCACGCAGAGGGCATAGGTTCAATCCCTGGTCTGGGAACTAAAGTCCTCTATGATGCATGGTGTGGCAAAAGGAAAAAAAAATCAATAATCCAGGCAGGAATTGCTGGGAGCCTAAATTAGCCTCATTTCAACAGCCTTAATGTCAGAGGGAGACTTTGGTGTACGCCGGGGTCAGCAGATAGGAAAGTGGTGTCCTGGGCGCTCCTCCAGAGATGGGTCTCCCTCCTGTCTTGCCAGCCATCAAGCTGCGGGGAACCGAATGGCTGCACCCCCTCCCCGATGGAGATGCCCCCCTCGGCTACTGCAGTCACTGCAGGACAGCCTCTCAAGGCATCACGCCAGTGAGGTACATAAAGACCGTGTGCTATGATGCTGCATCCAGGCCTGGGCTTTAGACATCCTTGGGCACAGGGGCTCCTAGAATCCCAGTACAAGGCGTGTTCACATTGCATTCGTCCACAGATGTGGAAGAATCAGCAATCAAGGATTCGCTGTCTTCCGGGTTTAGCGCTTCCTTTCCCCCTTCTCTGTTTGTTTTATGATCTCAGTGGGAAGGGGAGATCGTAGGCTAGAAACTGTTCTGAACAATATAAAAATCCTCCAGGTGAAAGAAGGAACTTACAAGCAGTTATTGGGCGCTGGGCTTAGACCAGGAAGTGAGCAGAAGTGTCTGAAAAAGCAGAAGTCCTGCTCCGTCCAAATGGTGGTGCTGCCGCAGAGAAGCGGGTGACAGTCTTTACAAAAGTCAAAGGGTGAATGAAAGCAGTCGGGGGGGCGGGGCTTTCTTCTGTTAAATCCTAAGACCGTTTCCAGGGCTAGAGGAAGCCCAGCCCGCCAGGACTCCTGCCTATAAGTGCTATTGTGGCCGTCGCTGCTGTTACTGCTCTAACGGGGTTTTTGGTAAGAGTGGGAGAGCAGAGATCTAGGTTGTATTTTCTGGCAACAGCCGTGAGTGTAGATCCTAGTGTTGTCAGTTAACATGCCTTGACATCAAGCAGGCAGATAGGAGGGTCAGAAAAAGTAAAAGACTTGTACACAGGTGGGGGCCGGGTTCTCCCCTCCAAACCTCAGCCCCAAACAAGGGTTCGGGAGAGGAGGTTAACTGAAAGAAAAGGGCCACCCGCCCAGGAACTGTGTGCCATCTGGCTGGGTGTTGGTTCCTTCTCTGGGAAGCCTTGTGATGCTCCAGGACATCCCTCTAGGATGTAGAGTAGCCGAGTGAGCATCTCGGGAGCCCTCTGCGGTCCTCCAGGGAGCAAGCGCTATGGTACTCACGCGTCTGTCTGGGATCTGGGTGCAACCCG